ACCCTGTAGCCCTCCCACACTCTTGACTCTATGCAGGACAATGGGACAGCTGCCCCTGCCCTTTGCACAGGTCTGACTCAGTCTTCAGCATTGTCACAGACCATTAAGTCTGGGTTGGGGTTTCTTGCATTCCTCACCAGCCTTCCTGCTCCCTAAGACACAGCCAGAAGGCTAGAGATGGGCTCCAAAGACATGTGGGGAGGTTCCATTACATCCCAGGTGTGAGTAAAATAGGGTCACAGCCCTGGCATCTGGGAGGCATTTATACACATACTCTAGTCCAAGGGTGGGATCCCTTGCAAGTTGTTGGTCCCCTTCTGGTCAGAATATGCACACATGCAGGTAGCAGACATCTGTAAGTTATGAAATTCATAGTGCCTTGGGGGCTTGCCGAGCATTTGACAAAGAATCCCAAAGTCCAAAAGGACCATGTGGGATGGCAAGTCTCCTGCTGCACTGGCTTCCTTCAGCTCCATCCACAGCATTCCATTTCAGGTGGTGGAAAATACAGGAAAGCCCTCAATCCAGCTTGGGGTTGGGGGAGGGGAAGGACTGGTTTAGTTGCTCACCCCAGGCCCCACCCAGAACCTCAGCTGTCCTCTGTCTGGGTTTTGCTCTACCCTAGCAGGATTCAGGTTCCTCCCGCCCCAGGAGTCCTGGTCAGCAGGCCTTAGCTCTGTGTTTGGTGGGGGTCAGCTTGGCTGGCAGAGATGGGTCAGAGGCAGGAGAAAGCTGGCATTGCCTTTGGATGCTATCCCCTGGAGTAGTGGTGCCCAGTGGGTACAGACTCCACTGAAAGCCTGGGTCAGAAGTTCCATAGGGGATTGACAGGACCCAACCTTTTTCCTTAGGCCACCAAAAGAAGAAGGCTACCCCACTTAGAGACGCAGACCATGTGGGGCTCCCAAGAACTGCTTGTGGCGTGGTGTCTAGTGCTGGCAGCAAGTGGTACTGAGCATGTCTATAGGCCCAGGTGAGCAAGGGCTTGGGTCTTGTCCAGAGGCATTTACCCCTGCTCAAGAGCCCCTTAATCCTGCTTGGGGGGGGGCGTGCAATACTTGGAAATAATTCCCTGTGATCCTGCTCACAGCAAGATTGGGAAGCCCCATGCCCCATGTTCCTACATACCTGCACTGGGAGAGTCCTAGCTCTGGATCCCCTGTCGACCCCATCCCCTCTAGCCGCAGAGTGTGTGCTGTGGGAGTTTCTGGAGGTCCTATCTTGGAGTCCTTTGTGCAGCGTGTATACCAGCCCTTCCTCACCACTTGTGATGGACACCGAACCTGCAGCACTTACAGGTGAGTGACCATCTTACCACTGCCAAATAGGAGCCCAAGTGCCTGCCTCATCCTGAACTGGGGAGCTGAAGCCAAAGCAGTGAGGCATTCTTGACACCAGGGATCAAGGTGGCCTCCAGCTTTGGAGGCTGGTACCCAAGGATGCTATGTAATCATTCCCAGCATTGTCCTCTGAGAGGATGTCACCTCAAAGGGTATCCCCCATATGGACAGGGGCTTCTCATCACATCTGTACCCCACTACTTTCGGAGTTTCCTTCCCAGCATTGCTAGCTAGAAGTCCTTATACACAGAGACAATGCCCACGTGGACCATCCGATGTCCCATCGGGCTAACAGAACAGTTTGAGCAGCACAGGACACAGCCAAGAGGGCAGGTCCTTGTTCTAATGTGGGGAGTCCAGCCTCCTCCCTACCTAGAAGCACCTAAGAAAGGTATAGGTGCGTGAGCTCTCTCCCTGACTCAAGATGCCAGAGACTCCTGAGTCTCCAAAGTTATGAGAGTGCTGGAGTCAGAAAGCAGCTTTAGCACCGGGGGTCTAGAACCCAGGAAAGGAAAGCAAGCCAGGCTCCAGTCAGCTTTGAAGTGGGCACTGCAGGAGGGACCAGCCCTGTGCTACTCCCTGGGCTTGTGTGTCTGTCAAAGAAGCTTGGTAGATTGAGTGGCACACACAGGCTTGTATGCTGACCCTGTCTGTGCCAAGTGAGCTGGGACTTGGGAAGGGAACCTCTGACATCCTCGGAGTGATGCTGGCTAGGTATCTTCAAACAAATGAGGCGGGCAGTGTGCACCCTACCTGAGGAAGCCTTGGTATGGGTCACCCTAGTTGAACCTCTCTGAACTACCCTTATTCACCACAGAACCATCTACCGGACTGCCTATCGCCGCAGCCCTGGGCCAACCCCCACCAGGCCTCACTATGCCTGCTGCCCTGGTTGGAAGAGGACCAATGGACTCCCCGGGGCTTGTGGAGCAGGTGAGGGCAGTGTGCACTCTGCCCGATGTAAGAGACCCACTCCCAATGGCCCAGCAGAGGCCCTGCTGCCTTCTGTCCCCCAAGCAGTGTATCCTCGCTGCAGGGCAACCCTTCCCTGGCTGCCATAGGGCTCTGGGGACCCTCCTGAGTTGGTGACAGACAGGCCTCTTCTACCCACAGCAATGTGCCAGCCTCCGTGTGGGAATGGAGGGAGTTGCATCCGCCCAGGCCACTGCCGCTGTCCTGTGGGATGGCAAGGAGATACTTGCCAGATAGGTAAGCACCACTCTTCTTGGCACTGTGTATATTCTAGGTTATTGCTGGCTGGAGTGGGTTTTCATGGATAGGTGGGTCTTACCAGATGTCTATGGCCAGGACCTTGCCTTCTGTAGACACAACTAGATACCTTCATTTCCTACAGATGTGGATGAATGCAGTACTGGAGAGGCCAGTTGTCCACAGCGCTGTGTCAATACTGTGGGCAGTTACTGGTGCGAGTGCTGGGAGGGGCAAAGCCTGTCTGTGGATGGCATGCGCTGCCTGCCCAAGGAGGGGCCCTCCCTGGTGGCCCCAAACCCCACAGCAGGTAATCTTGCCTTTCCACCCTGCTTGACTGACCTGGGTGGTTGTTGGGTTCTGAGCACTGTTCCTTGTTTGAGCTGAGCATGGAGGACACAGAGGGCAGCAAGCCCTGGGTGGAGGTTAGCACTGTGCTGTGAGGGCTGAGCCCAGACATCCTGGGCTGGAGGGAGGGTCCTTGTCTGGGTAGAAGGGGACACTTTCCTCTCAAGAGGTTTCAGGAAAGTACTTTGGGGAGACGAGGCCTACCTGGAGCCTCATCTCAGCAGACTGAGTGAAAATGAGCCACACCCTGGGCCTGGCAGCCTGGAAACATCGTGTCTTTGCTGGTGACAGTACATTATTACTTTTGGTACGCGCTGTGACACTTCAAACTCGTACCGTGAGTAATAATGCGCTGTCAGCAGCCCTGCGCCAGGAGTGCCGCCGGACCTGGGTAAGGATCACCATTGGCACGCAAGACCCTTGGGACCCAGGGGTGGCCAGAGGCTGCTCTGGGTTATGTGTATTGGTAGGGCCTGAGGCTTACAGCAACTTCCAGAGGCTTTGCATCTCCAGGTTCTGCTCCCATAGCTGTGGCAGCAGACATAGGTCTTCCTATGGCTAAGAGCTCATTGTGGGGCAGGAAACTCCCCTGATTAGCACCCGGATCTTCCCCCAGGAGTGGACAGCATGGTGAGGGAGGAGGTGCACAGGCTGCAGTCCCGGGTTGAAGTGCTGGAGCAGGTGAGGCTTGGTTGGGAGCGGGTCTGGCTGGTGTCCACAGACCCATAGTCTCTGGCTGTGGTTCCAAGCCATGGGATGGTTGGGGGCTGTATGGGCAAAGGCTGTAGGGATTCTGGCTTTCTTACTATGCCAGGTAGCTCTGTATGGGATTCCCCAGCCTGGGAGGAACTGAGGTTCAGAGCCCACTTAGCCTGTTATACAAGGATTCTTTCAAGTCTCATTAAGCCTCAGGCTCCATGACTCTCCTAGCTTGTCTCTGGGGTCCAGAAATCTTTTAGCTAGCTTGTAGGTACATTATACACCTGTGTCTACTAGGGTTTGGACTCCCTCTATGTGTAAGCAGGGCCCTGATGGATGCTACGGCTCAGTAGGGGACTCATTGCACTCCTACTGGTCCTTCCTTACACTCCTATGGAATAGAGGTGAAGAGGGGTCACTTGGCTTTTTATAATCTCCCTTACAAACAGAAACTGCAGCTGGTGCTGGCCCCACTGCACAGCCTGGCCTCTCGGGCTACAGAGCATGGACCACAAGACCCTGGCAGCCTGCTGGCCCACTCCTTTCAGCAGCTGGACCGAATTGATTCACTGAGTGAGCAGGTCTCCTTCTTGGAGGAGCAGCTGGGGTCCTGTGAGTGCCACACCTCCCCACCCACAAAGATCCTGGGGAGCCCATGGGGAGGATGGATCGGCTTCTGGGGATGGGCAGATTTTCAAGTTTGCACCCTCTTTCTTCTCCTGCTCTAGGCTCTTGCAAAAAAGATCTATGACAGCGTCTCGCCACCCAGGCTGGACTGAGCTGCCTGCCACCCCTACATCCCCCTGCCAGCCAGAGTTCACGTGCTATCTGGTGGTGCCTGTCTGACCCTCTCGCTCAGGTTCCTAGAACCTGGGCATGGGGAGAAGGGTCTTGTGACTCTCCCAATGGGACTTTCCAGGAAAGGTACGAGCACCCTGTCCAGAGGTGAGGTGGGGGATTGTCCCCATCTTTGTCATAATAAAGCTGGGACTTGAACTGCTGTCAGTGGGTGAATTGGAACTGGGGGTGCACTGCACTCCTGCCCTGGAGGCCCCAGGTAAAGTGAAGTGACTGTCTGCAAACAGGAGCTGCAGCAGGCGCGACTGAGCCCCGTTTTCCGTTAGTGGCTTGCCAGAGGCTGGAAGGCCGGTCTTCGAGGTCATGCCACCAGACCCATGTCTGTCCGCCCCACAGTTCTGGGGACCCCACACATTCATGGACAATAGCACTGATGGCTGATCACAGCTCAGCCCCTGCAGGCGATTTGGGGGAGCAGGGAACTTACACACTGCAGCCCCAGAGAAGGGACATGTGGGTGGTTAGATACCATCCTTGCCACCCTGAATCCCTGGATGGAGACCTGGGGAGGGGCTCTTGCCCACTCTCTGAAAGAGAACCCTGGTCTCTAGGCACTTCTCAGAGTTCATTTATAAAAAGAAAAGGAGAGAGAGAGAAAAAAAAAAAAGAACCAGTACAGCAGTGATTTGTGACTGAGACTGTCGGACAGTGGGGATGGCAAGCTCTGCCCTCTGGTGCTGTGTGACTGGGAGACCAAGTTACTTCTCTTCCTAATGGCCTGATACAGGCCATGGCCTTGTTCCTGAATGTTGATCCTACACCGTGGGGTGGGCCTTCTTCGGTGGCATGTTGCCCACTGCTAGGTGGGCTCATGGTCTTGTGGGTCAGCCCACCTGCTGGATGGCCACACCTGGATTCTGGAGGCACAGGCATGAGGTGGGAAGTTACACGGGGTCCTGGGTCTAAGGCCTGTGTCAGAAAGGGCTTCCTGTTTCCAGGCCCCAATGAGAGCCAGGCCAGCAGGGGAGCAGGATAAGGTGTTTGGTAGATGGTAGGATATGGCCTTCTGTCCATTCTCCAGCCTCTGCTTCCCATCTGCCTTCCCCCAGCTCCCCTGCCCCTGTGGCCTGGGCTACTGGGCTGGCACAACCCCAGGCTCTTTAATGGCAGAGTCCTCCTGGGGCATCTTGGAAATTTGTAGAAAGGTGTCCCTCATGGACTGGTAGCAAGTATCCACAAGGTTAGAGACATCAGCTTCTGTAAGGCCGCTGGTAGAGACAGCATCCAGCACTTGTACCCTGATTGTTCCTGGGGAGGAAGCAGTGGCTGTCAGGGGCTTAGAGGCCCCATTGGTGCTGCCACCCACCACTCCTCGCCTGGCTGCCATCCTCAGTTCCTGGGCAGGGTTCACGTTTGTAGCTAAGGCAACAAAGTGCATCTAGGGAGTTTTAGCAACTTTACCCTCTCCTGTAGCCACTGCCCATGACTCAGGATCTCTGCCCCTGAAATTGCACTCAGTGACCCCTTATCACACTTGCTCCTTCAGTCCTCCATGGTGCTGGGCATTAGGGGCTCAGATGCCGGAGACAGCCAGGCTTGTCCCATTGTCCTTAAACCTCTGAGCCTACCTGACTCCCAGGGTAGGGTCACATAACCCACATGCAGGCAGGGTCAGGGTTCCTGCCTGAAAGCTAATGAGATAATAGAAGTCTAGACAGCTTAGAATTGCCACCCCTCACCAGCAGGGTCACTACATTTCCCTATTTGTGTTGCACATACAACCAACGGAGATCTCAGGAATTCAACCATGTTTAGAACCTGCTTTTCAATCTGAAAAATTGAAAACCCCACTTAGAAAGAGCAGCAATGAGATGATGCTTGGCAGAGATTCATTCATTCATTCATTCACTCACTCACCACCCAGAAGTGGGAACTCCACTACTAAGGGTCCAGGACTCTGCTAAATTAGTCATCCTCTGCTACATAAGGAGTTGCAGGCCAGCCTGGGGTATGTGAACCCATCTCAAAATAAATAAGAGAGAGAGAGCATGACAGGCTTGTGAGCTTCTGTGTGGCTCTGATGGGCTCACCTGAGGTAAAGAGTTTCGTCTTGACATTGTAGAAGGAAGAAAAAGATGAGTACACCACGGGGATGATGGGCACCTGTGGACAGGGACACATGCTGAGGGACAACACTACAAGGGTGCCTTGGCTACTTCTAGGTGTCCTTGTGGCTGACCCCTCCATCCAGGTGGCCTGGTGTTGCACAGGCTCATCCTGTCCCCCACAGGAAGCTTCCTCCTACAGGAAGCTGTCTGGGCTGGAATTTTTCACATGTTGTGTCCCCACCCCCATCCCCTCGCTAGGTCATAAAGTACCCTGGAAGTGGGAGGGTGAGGCTCCATTTAGCACTGGGGGGGGGTGAGGATGTTGCCCCTCCTCTACCCTCCAGCCCTGTCTCTCATCCCCAGGAAACTAGGGGAGGGGGTTGGAGCCTGTTGGTATTCCTGGAAGGCCCCAGAGTCAACTCCAATGATGACAGGTGGCTGGGGTAATAATTAACCCTGGGCGCCAGAGCCTGGGCAGGAAGGTGGTAGACTGCACCCTGGACAGGACCTGGGGGAGGGGCAGGAGGCAATTTACCTGGATTCTTCCGCCCCCACTATAGCCCCTAGTCTCTCTTTTCTCAGGATCTGCCGATACCTCAAATCAAGGAGGACTTGACTAATCCCAGGCCCAAGGACCACCTGGTGCATGGTAACTACACAGGTGCAGTCTCCTGCTCCAGCCTGGGCTTCCTAACCCTTAGAACTGATGGGAGCTTTAGGGAAAGGGTATATGCCATCTTGTATGGGATTGGGCCCAGGAGGCTGCCTGCCCCTGGGGCAGATGGAGCTGAGGTTTTCCAGGCAGCAAACAGTAAAGTAAAACAGAATTAAATCCCCCCCCCACCCCCAGTGGTGACTTCCTCCCAGCAGGGGCCCCATTCCATGGCAGGTGCTCAGGAACACTCCTGATATACACTGTCTTCCCCCAACACATGCTGGCAGGGAAGTTCAAGCCCAGGACAGAGCTCACTTGTGCTGCTGAGGGCTGGGTTTGTCAATAGCCTGTGCCTGCTCCTCAGCCTCACCATAATCAAGCCAGGGCCTGGAGCATCAGAGGAATTTCTAGGCACAATCTGTCTTACTATGCCGAGCAAAATGCGGACTCACTGGCCTCCCATCCCTACTTTTCATGAAACCCCAAATGCAGGAGATGACCCACCTGGACAGCTAGGGTACGGGGAGGATGGAGTTCAGTCCTCAGAGCTGCTCAGGTGCTAGGGGGCTGAGCTGGTGGGATGCCCTTCCCAACAGGGTGGAGGAGGTCCCTGAAGGCCAGCGGTCCCCACTCTGGCTGGGATATCATCTTCAACCTTAAACCACCCTGATCCATGTTCCAAGCTCCTACCCCTCGAGAGTACAGTTTGGCCTACCTGGGCCTGGATGGCCAAGTAGAATGCACCTTTTTTAAAGGGCAACAGGTCCCCATTGTCGTTGCGTGTACCCTCTGGGTAGATCCACACTTTGAGCTGCCGGTAGAAGGGAGAAGGTGCTTAGGCTGCCCTTACCCTGCTTGGCCTCCCCAGAGAGCTGCACTGCCCTCCCCTGAAGCCTGCCTGGCTGTGCTGTGCTTATACTCACATTGTCCTTGACCATGAGGTCACCCAGGTCAGCCATCAGGGTCATGGCAGTTCTGGCACGCTGGCGGTTGATGAAGTACACGCCCCCAAGGTACATGATGAGGCCCACGGGCCCTGTGAACAGCAGCTCACGCTTGGCAATCTGCACACAGCGCTTAGGGAGTATCTCCATGAGGCCTATGTGCATGACAGAGAGAGGGAAAGAGGGAGAGAAGCAGGGAGAGACAGAGATGGAAGAGAGACAACAGATGGAGACAGAGGTGTGGAAACAGCGAGGGAGAATGAGACATAGGAGGGGTAGACAGACAGACAGAAGCAGGCAGGAAAGGCAGAGGAAGTGGAGATAGGCATAGAAAGACCCAGAGATGGACACATAGACAGCAGAGAAAAGAAGCCAGAGGCGGGTAGGCAGAGATGGAGATTAAGAGATACAGAGACAGGGATGGAGAGAAGACACGGGAGAGAGAAGGGGGGACAGAGAGAGACACAGAGACAGAGGGGAGAATGGAAAAGAGACAGGGGAGACATAGACAGGGGGCAGAGTAGGGGGAAGAAGAGAAAACAGCCTCAGAGTCCAGCGTGGCACTCCTGGGGAGGAGGGGCTGGTGGCCCACCTGCCAAGGCCCCTGCCTCCGATGCAGTCCTGTGCCTCATGTCTGGCACAGCCTGCTGCTCTTATCCCCTAGCTTGAGGAAAGCCTGTGGCTAGAGAGACACACAGGTCTTGTTCTGTACCAGTCTCAGCTAGCAGCCCCAGCCCACCCAGGGTCTAGGATGAAAAAGGCCACCGTCTCTGTGGCCAAGCCCTTGGTGGCAGCCTACCCATCATGTCTAGGATACTCTGGTGATTAGAAATGATGACACAGGGACCATCCACCTCCAGTTTCTTCTGGCCTCTGACCTCAAAGCGAAGGCCATACACGTACTTGAAGGACCGCACGAACCAGCTGATGATGCTGAGGGCAGAGATACCAGTAACCAAAATGAGCTTCTATAGCCAAGGGAGGGGTTATACATGGGCAAGCTGTGGGGAGGGTACAGCAGGAAACACAGGGCAGGATACTTGAGCAGACAGAGTCCTTGGGGCCAATTAGCCCTGCTGCCTACCCCTCAAGGGTACCTCAAGTGTTCTGTGTTCAGAGGACTTCATTCATAAGGGACTGTCCCAGGCACTGGGTAGAGGGTGGCCTATCTCCTGCTTTGCAGGACATTTGCTGTGACAGAGGAAAGTGGCGGTGCCACCATGCAGACCCCAACGCACTCCATTCTACATGTACTTTAGTACATAGCATCACTGGGTATCCAGCAGTCCTGAGGGAAGGGGCCCTCACAGTATGTTATAGAGCTATCTCTAAACAGTACAGCAGATTCAAAGCCGGTTCTCCACTCCTACTCTTTAAAAGTGTAGTAAAATACACATGCCATAAAACCTCCCATTTTAACCACCTTTATGTGCACAGCTTAGTGTGTTAAGGCCACCAGGGCTGGACTGCCTACTGCCACTGTCTGTCCACAGAACTTTCTCTTTCCAAACTAATACAATGTCCCCATAACCCGACTCCACCTGGCCCTGCCCTGGGAATCTCCTGCTGCTGTATCCCCAGAGCTTCTGACTTTGCAGCCCTCCTGCAAGGCTTGTTCTCATCAAGAACCCAGCAGGGGGAGAACAATTCTCACCGATGGGGAAACTGAGTTTTGGGGAGGCAGAAATGCTAATCCAGATGATGACACCAGCCATTGCACTTCTAGGTCTGGAAACCTGGAACCCCTCCTCAGCCCTGCCAGCCTCAGCCAGCTCAGGCCATCTTGTCTTCAGGCCAGACCTCCCTATCTACTGCAGGGGCAGGTAGACCTTCATCAGAGAGTGGTCAGTGCCTCACCTGTTCCCTCATTTCTAAGTCACAGCTCCAAAGGGACAGGGAAGGAGACTCAGAGAAGAAAATGTGTCAACACAGGGGTACTGTTCAGTCTCACCAGTCGTCAAAGGAACACACAGAAGCAGGGAAGGACCTGGCCCTTTGCTCAGATGCACACTAGAAGGCTAACAGGGCTGGAACGTAGGCATTTGTTTGCTCTCTGGTCTACAGCCAGATGTATCTAGAGGGCAGGTTGGTGGCTAGCCAGGTTCCTAGGAATTCCCCCAAGGTATGGAGATAATCAAGATTTGAATCAGGGAATCTGGAAACTCCGGCACCATGAGGCAGAAGACATGCAACAGTGTCAAAAGTGACTTACTGAAAAGAACATATGATTTGTTGGAAAAGGTGTGTATGCTGGGCGTGGAACCCAAAGCTTCTGGCAGCCACACCCCAGACTCAAGATGAAGGCTCATTTGAAATGCTCCAAAGTCCCAAACTTTCTAGACAGCGTGTCACAAGTGGAAAGTCTCACAATGTAAACTCATATGAGGGACCACAGTCAAAGGCAGGCACACTACAGATGTTCTAGGAAGTTACCTCTGTATATATAGGGCACAAAACACACACACACACACACACACACACACACACACACACACACACACACACACACACACGAGTCCAAGATACCTCATTAAAAATGTATAAATCTTCCCAAACCTCAAACCTCAAATCATGCAAAATTTAAACTTTATTTCCACCCTTAATTTTTTTTTTGGGATAGGGTTTCACCTAGCCTAGGCTTACTAAGTAGCCAAGGATGCCCTGGAACTTTCACCCCTCTTATCTCTACAGCTTTAATCCTGGGCTTATAGGAATGCAGACCACACCTGGCTTTATGCAATGGTGGCTTCACATATGCTAAGCAAATACTCTACCATCTGAGCTATCTTCCCTGTGGAGTATCTTACTAAGGAACAGTCAACCTGTAGTTGTCACTACAAACTCACATTCCCATGTGCTTCTGCAAAGGGAAGAGTGTCCAGCCACATCCAGACTGTGCCCTTGGGTAGTGACATCTACATGTGCCCTCGTCTGTCTGTCTGTCTGTCTGTCTGTCTCTAGTTCTGGGTGGTGGGGGGCACCCCTCCACATTTTGGTGACTAAACAGACATAAATAACATTTATCATCATGGGTTGGAAGAAAACTGGACCAGACTGCATAAGGTCCTGGGTTCCACCCATCTACCAATTAATCAATAGAGGCGTTTCTCCCAGGTAAAGGGGCCAGTTAAGGTCTGCAGAGATGCTGTAGCTGTAAGATACCAGAAGTGTAAGCTGGAGTCCTCACTCTAACAGGAGAGAGACACCATCAATAGGTACCATGCCTAGGATGTTAGGTCCCTCATTCAGCTCTGTTCAGACACAGCCACTGAGTAGGCCCTTACACCCTCTCTACAAAGGCTGCACAAACTCAGGTCAGCAAGGTCAGTGACCTGTCCCCAGGAATGAGGAAGCCATGTGGACCCAAGTCCATCTCCTAACACTGCTTCCAGTCAGGTGAGGTGTATGGTCAGAGGGCACCCCTGGGCAGGGCCATGGCTCCCCACACTGCCAACTGGATTTGTTAGGTTCCAGCAGTCCATCCTGAGGCTCCTTCTGTCCTGTCTATCTGCTTTGCTGGATTGGCAGCTTGGCTTCACCCAGCCACAAAGTGGCTCCCCTGAAGGGATGGGTCATTTCCAGTACGATGACCTGAGCTGCCAACACAGTCTGGTCCTGAACCACTCTTGTCCTTTCCCCTAAAGGAGCTACAGTCCCCAAGTCCTGTACCTAGGATAAGATGCCATGCCCTTCAGCCCTCACTCCAGGTTGGGCTCTGCTGTCTCTCAGGGCCAACAGGAAAAGTGCCTGGGGACAGAGTGAGTGCCCAGAGTGGAAGCATGGTAGCCAGCTGTCAGGCAGTGTCCACTGGGACAACTCCTGAGCTCCTGCTCTGGAGCAGAGGGCACACAGTCTGTCATTCAGAGCCTGGCCTTCCTGAGCTTCATTACCACCTGTGCAAGGGGATGGATGCAAGGAGACACCTTCCATGGGGCTAACTGACGTAGTTACTTCACACTGGATCTGTATCAGCAGTGGTCTAGTGATTGGGATACAGGTAGAAATAGAACAAGAGAGATTCCCAGAGAGGAGCCCTCTGACCTACTTGGGTCCCTCCCACATCTGCCCCGCAGCAGGGAAGTAGTTCAAGGTCAGAGCCTATATCACAGGCCTGGCTGTTCTTGTGGAATGCCACTGTCTGACCTTTGCCCTTACTTCTGGTCCTAAGTATGATGGGTAGGGACTTGCTAGATGGTGAGAAGGGAACTTCATGGGTCAACCAGGGCTAGATTGCTGGGGAAGGGCATGTGGGGGACCACTGATAGGTCTGGCTTGGGAGATGGAAGAGCCTGGTAAGGATACTTGGCAGAAAAGTTTTCTGACAAGTGTCACAGGAATGAAGGCAAGAACTGGGGCTGGGATAGGACTTCTAGCCTGGGCAAACACCCAAGAGAATGAAAGCAGTAGGTGCTAGGAATCAAGAGAGTACCGAGGAAGTAGGGGTGTGGACTGACCCATTCATTATCCAAAGGCAGCCAGAGCTGAGTTGCACTGTCCTCAAAAGGCCAAGATGCTACCTACCACTGCATCAGGGGAGGAAAGAGTCCTTCCTGTTGGCAAAGTCCTATAGAATCCTATGCTTACCTTCAGATGGCCAGGACTGCCAAGATGATGCTGGCTCTTATGGCCTATGCCAGAGCTAGGCAGAAGAGAAAGGGCCAGCTTTGCTGTGGCTACTAGGGACTCAGTCAGGGCTCAAAGCTAAAAGAGTTCAGCCTAAAAAGCAAGACCAGTTTCTACCCTCACCCTTAACAGGACACAATGCAGTCAAAGGCTGCATCACTACAGCTCTGGGTGGCCATCCAAGACTGAGAAGAGAGGTCTGTCCTTTCTTTATGGGGTCCATGGTGTGCGTGCGTGTGTGTGTGTGTGTGTGTGTGTGTGTGTGTGTGTGTGCGTGCGTGCGTGTGTTGTGTGTGTATGTGTGTGTAATTGTTCTTGTTAAGGTGACCCAACTCTGAAGCTCAACAAAACTCTATACAGCCTCTCAGGGCTTTACTATCCCCTCATCAAATGGTATAATCAAGGCCTGTGCCTCTTGTCATCCCACTCCGGTCTACACACAGGGAAGGACTCCTTCCATTTGCACAGCCCTTCCTTGGTCTCAGCCCCTATGCCAAGTCCGAGACATGGCTTCTGTATTCCTAAAGCTGTTCCTTTCATCTCAGAACTCCAGACCAAATGACAAAGGCACCCTTTTTAGAGGACAGAGAGGGGACAGAGACAGGAACTCAAGATCTGTCTTATAATCCTATAATGTCTTCAGATGGTGGCCACACCTCTTAATACAGTGGTTCTCAACCTGAGAGTTCTGATCCCTTGGGTGGGTGGGGTTGTCCAATGACTCTTTCACAGGGGTTACATATCAGATACTTAATTACGAGCAAAATTACAATTATGAAGTAACAATGAAATAATTTTATGCTTGGGATCACCACATCATGAGGAACTATATATTAAAGGATCTAGGCATTAGGAAGGTTGGAAATCACTCTTAGTGAGACTGTGGGCAGCCATGGGCAGCGTCATCACAGCTGGGTTGACCTCAAGGAATGACTACAGAATTTATTAGAGAATTGCCTTCTGGGGTTCAATTGCCAGCGCTCCCCGTCTTGGTTGGGGGAGCTTGGGCCCTCACTTCCCTTTCTGCTAACTTGTCCAAGCCTTACTCTCTGAACCTCAGTCTCATCTGTTGCCCAGGCAGAGTAGTATCTGCAACCCAGACTTGGCTGGCCCAGGCCAGGGAAGCTCAAGATAGGAATGGGCCCATATATCTACTAAGCAAGCCTCCACCTCCTAGGCACCCAATCTGTTTCTCTGGCAATCACCCTTCCCTGTGGTCACACCTGGAGGATGTCATGCTCACAATACTCCAAGGGGCTTGCTGTTTCTATCTCAACTCATTACCATTATGAAGATTTAAGACAGGGACCCTGAGACAGGGTAGATAGGTGGGGAGCAGGCTACTTACTCATCCTGTCCTCTAGACCTCATTTCCTGCCAACAGGGGCAGAACATCTGCTGTTACCCAGCCAATATCCCAGGGCCACAGGGCACCAAATGAGAGAGGATGCTGGAAAGCCCATTAGGAAGCCAGAGGAATCTGGCAGTGTGCTAGGGGCTGGGGTGGCCCAAGAGGCTCCATCCTGGTATGATCAGCCTGCTACATCCAGCCACCACCTCAGAAAGGCTGACTGGATTTGGCTCCTGGACAACATTGGTAGACCATCAGGGCAGGCTATACAAGAGCACAAGGGGGAGGGACCAGCTGCAGATCTCTCAAGTCAGGGGCTTGGTGAAAAGTATGCACAGATCAGCCCCATAGCTACATTCCAATGTTATAGGCCCAGGACCTGCTGGCCTTAGAACCAGACATGGCCTCCTCTGGTCTGGTTCAGCAAGGGCAGCACTTCCTCCAAGATAAACACATGCCTGGTGCTCCCCAAGCCCACCATGCCTCTGCTGCTCAAGTGCCCTGCTTTGGGGAGACCCTCTGCTCACTGACAGTAGTGACACCCCCCACCCCTGCTTTAGTCTCAGGCCAAGCAACAGGAAATGTGCATAGCCAAGGAACCCATCTCCTTGTGCAGGGGTCTCCCTGCCTGCTCCAGGAGTCTGTTCCCTGGGACACTTGATGGAGGTGACAGATCACTACAAGCCCCTGAAAAAATGAGGACAGGAATCCACGAATCATGGCTGATCAGGACAGAGTCCTAACCCCAAAGACTAGCAAGGGCAGGTACAGCACAGTCAGAAAACAGTCCCTGTAACCAGCCCAGGGGAGGTGGGGCATCAGGGGCCACAAGGTCTGAAACACCCGGCCAAGGCCAAGGCCAGGACATTGCAAAACCCACCAGCTCAACAGTCCAAACAGGGCAGAGAGAAATGTAGCAACAGTCTCCTGGGATTGTGGACAGGGAGAAAGTCCTGGACGTCTATTTTCTCAGGCAGCCCCTATTGGCAGGTTAACTCAGCCCGATCCCTTTATATGTATCTGCCTATCCACTAAGCTACCTTGCTCTGAGAGGTGGCCTGAGGATGTCTTAGGTCCCAGATTTAGGCCCCTTCTTCCTTCTTCTCTAGCAAGCCTAGCCCTAAGGCAACTCATCCCCACTCCTAGAAGTTAGGACAAGGGGAACCTGTGGCTGCACCTGGCCACAGGTGTCTTCTCACCTGGGGGAGGTGGGAGCATGGGCCCGGAAGCCCGGAGCCAGGTCTGGGTTTCCTTGCTAGTGAAGCGGGATTGGGCCCGTCCCACCTTCGCCCGGCCCCCTCCCTCTCCTAAAGCTAGCGGCGCGCGCCAACAGCCACCCCACGTAGCGTGCAGGGGCGCCGGAGGGCTGAACCCCGCTTCCGTGCCAGGCACCGGCGCATTATGACGCGCGTTCCTGGGGACCCGGGACGGGAAGCCGCGTCGTCGGAGACTCGGGACCGTGAGGACAGCGGGGCGGGCGGGGCAGGAAGGAAAGAACGCGAGGAGCGCAGAAGTTAGGGAAGCGGAAGCGCGCCCATCCCGGCGTCCGGCCCCCTTGCCTCATGTTATCCACGGTGCGGCCGCCGTGGCGCAGCAGGCAGACGATCGAGGCCACGGCGGAGAAGGACAGGCAGAGCACGCAGTAGAGGCCGATCTTGGCGTAGAACCTGGCGGTGCGGCTCAGCTGCACAAGCAGCAGCAGCAGCAGCAGCGCCGCTGTCAGCCACGGCCACAGTTCCATGGCGGCCGCACCCCAGCCCCGACGGCGCCGCCGTCCGCCGCCCGCTGACCACCCGTGCCCCTTTTGAGGAGCTCAGGCGGTGGAGGGCTGGCAGGGATCGCAGCCCGGAGCTAGGTGCGGCCGCCCCGCCCCATTCCCGCCCCGCCCCTCCGGGCCTGGCCCTGCCGGGGGGCACCGCGCCCCACTCCGCCCCGCCGCGTCCCAGGCGCGGACCCCGCCTCCTGCTGCCCTCGGGTGTTGCCCTCTCCGCCCCTCCCCGCTACCCTGCCACCCTGCCCCTTGCGGCAGGTCACTGAGGTTCCCTCACACGTCCGGCGGCTCCCATCTCTGAGCAGCCGGGTGGCCTGGGCTCTGAAGCTGCCTCCCACGCCCCTGCACCGCGGCCCACGGCCACAAGTCCCCAGCCCAGTACCGCAGCTCGCCAAGGGCATGCAGTTGGTCCTAAGACGTGCCCATTATGCCAATCTTGTCACCACACAAAGGACCATTGAATAGCTACTGAGTGACCAATGGTGACCTGGCTAGGCCACCTGGCTGGCAGCCTTGGCCCCTTAGGTCGCCTTGAGCTGGTAGACTGAAGCCCCACCCCGTGATGCAACAAGCTGGGGGAGGCTGGAGGATTAATGAGAGTTTTGGAGCAGGAGTGGGGGTGTTCCTGGGGCAGTGTGTCACTGGGGACTTTCTGGTGCCCGGCCAGCAGTATCAGGCGATTGTGTTCCCATGCTTTCAGCTCAGCTCAGCAGAACCAGCAGCCTAGCAGGGGCCCTTGTGGTTGATGCTCACTGGGACACTTTTCACTCTCCTTGTAGTAAGAGAAGATCTGCCTTGGGGTTGCACGCCAGGCATTTACACCCTTCCTGATCACTCTCAGATGACAATAACAAAATTCATCTAGTTTCCTTTCTGGAGAGGTCAGCCTGCACCTGGGAGTGGGGCCCAGGTATGGCTGCAGATTACTATGTGCCCACAGGCTCCCCTGTGTCCAGGCATGCTGAGGGCTGACCCTGGTTTTCTCTAATGCCGGGATGAATAATTGTCACATCCACCCACAGAACTGAGCCGAGCTTTCAAAGCAGAGCCAGACTGTGCCAGCCTGAAGGGTGGATAAGGAACCATCCTGTAAGTGGCCCACTAGTGGTGTTCTCCATTTGCAACAAAAGAGTAATTCAGGTTCATCCATCACACCTGTGGGCATTTTGTGGCTAAACCTATCAGAGCAGTCTGTCCTTGCTGTGTTCCTATCCACCCCTTGGCTATCATTCCATCAGCTGGAACAGCCTAGCTTGGCATTTTGTTCTGGAGACTTCCCCAGCTCCAAAGCTGAGATGGGGCTCCTGTGCTTATGAGGCTGCTGGGAGGGCAAGCTCCAGGATTTTCAGCTTCCTGGGAAGAAGACCTGGATGTGCTAAGAGAGAATGCTGGGGGAGCTGATGTATTGCTGCTAAGATCCTGGCCAGAGAGCCGAGTCCTGAGATTCCCCAAGGGCATCCAGTCCTCACAGCTCTGCAGCCCCTCAGGAAGGTACATGCTGCTTCCTTCAGGCTCTTTTAGTTCTAACCCACCACTGTTTCTATTTTTATTTACTAACCTACCGTATGTATGTCTCTAAGTTTTTAAAGATTTATTTTGAGTTGGAATGTTTTGTGCGCATGTATGTGTATGCTTACCATCTGCATGCCTGGTGCCTGAGGAAGTCAAAGACAGAGTGCTGGGATCTGAAATGGGGTGTGCTGCAAAAGAGGCAAGTGCTTAACCATCGAACCATCTCTCCACCCCCTGTTTGTTTTTGGAGCAAGGTAGATCAGGCAGGCTTCAAACTCCCTACCTGGCTGAGGGTGACCTTGAACTTCTAAATCTTCTGCTTCTACCTCTCAAGGGCATTTGCCACCATGCCAAGTTGCTGATACTGGGGATCATACTCAGGGCTTCAAATATTCATGCATGCTAGGCAAGCACGTTATCGACTGAACTATAGTCCAAACCCTGACCACTATTTAATTATTGTTTTGAGGTGAGGCTCTCAGCTGGTCTTCTGAAGCTCTGACTACAGTGGTCCTTGCCTCCTAGTTCCCCAGATAGATAGACCTCCATGCCTTAATGTAGCGCTCACATTCTTCCTGCACTTTATTGCACCTTGTGTTTCCTATCTTTCTCCATCCCTCTTCTGTGCTGTTCTGCCCTAGCATGTGCAATAGTTCTCAGTAAAAAGACTCCCTCACAAGAGCTAAGGTACTCCCCCATTTTATTGATGTGTAACTGAGGCCCGGAGATAAGTCATCAGCCATGGGGGAGGAGACTGACTGCACAGGCTACCCAGTTGGGATTTCCCTTCCCTTCTGGTTCAGGAGAAATGGTGGCAGCTTGAGGTGGGGGCTTTGGCCAAGTCTGGCATCCCCAGAGGCAAGGCAGTTTGCCTCTTAGAGGGGCAGTGTCTTGACTTCTCCTCTCCAGTGTTTTCCTCCTGTTAGCCCACTAGATGTTGAAAGACATGACGGTTCCCAGCTTTCATCCTATGCAAGGGAAAAGGTTGTTGCAAAGGAAACTTTCAACAGAGTCACATTCAGAGGCTGTCGAAACTTTTTGCTTTGGAAATGAAGCCTAAGGCAAGGGCTTCTCGGCCACTCAGAGGCTGCTGAAGGTTTTACTTTGTTCACCCAAGTAAAGGGTAGAAAGGAACCCTGGTTAGGTTGGGTAGGGAAGGTGGCCACCATTACCCTGGAGGTCCTGTGGTGTGTCAAGCAGTCAGTGCCAGGCAGCTCTGTGTCCCAGCCTGATGACAGCTGAGAGCCCTCCTGGGTATTTGCTGGGAGGCAGCCAGCCAACACATGACACCAAGTGGCATTGTCAGGCCTGAGCTGCCTTCCTTCCTAGAGCCTGGGGCCCAGAAGGGGAGAGTCACTGATGGCAAGAGGAAGCCTGGGCACTGGATGGGGGGTATGCTTGCATAGGGAGCAGACCAGCAACCAGGCTGAGCTTAGCCCACCTGTCTCATTTCTCCACGGGGGTCCTTCCCAGGACTTGGTGAGGCACTGAGGTCTGCATTTCTCTTGGGAAGTAGGGGGAGGAAAGGGCCATAAGCAGGCAGAGAGCTCCTTACTTCCTGGAAGCTGAGGTAAAAGGCTGGCTGACTCCTGACTGTGGCATTCCAGGCAGGAAGGGCAGGGTGGGGTGCCCACTTTGAAGTCCTGTTGACCTGGCTACCCAGCTCCAGGCTACGTGGTCCACACACATGCAGTTTCCTCCTATGTAAAATGGAGACGCTACCCTCAACTAGGGGGTTAAAAGAAATCAAACTGGGTGGGGCGTTGGCGGTGCACACCTTTAGTCCCAGCACTCAGGAGCCAGAGGCAGACGGATTCCTGTGAATTTGAGTCCAGCCTGTTCTACATAGCTAGTTCCAGGACAGTCTCCAAAGCAATATAGAGAAACCCCGTCTTGAAAAACCAAAAAAAAAAAAAAAAAAAAAAAAAAAAAAAAAACAAAAAACCAACCAATAAACCAAAGCCAAAACAAATCAAACTGCCCTGTGCTTCCTCACATCAGGTGGGGGTGGGACATGCAGGGTCCTCATGACCCTGCCCAGCAGAGAGAGGAGCCAAGAGTGATGAAGCCTTGGGTGGGACTGGAGGCAGAGTAGGGATGCCCTCCGTGAGTACTAATCTCTGCAGGGCGTTTGGCTCCTTGTGGGGGAACTTGGAGGAAGCTGGAGGATAAAGAGGAGGAGGAGGAAGAGGAGGAGAAGGAGAAGGAAAGAGAAGAAAGGGAGGAGGAGGAGGATGGGGAAAAGCAGGGGGAAGGCCATGAGGGGGAAGAGAATGCGGGGAAGGAAGAGGGGAAGGCTGAGAAGAAAAGCATGGGAGGGGAGGCAGGAAGGGAAGGAAAGGGAGGAGGCGGAGGAACAAAGAAACGAGGTGGAGAGAGGGTAGAGCCCAAGGCGCTGCAGAGGAACCGGCTCTAGTCTGTCCGCGATGGGTCCTCTTGGAGAGCTCAGACTTCTCGGTGGATGTGTCACAGGAACACTGATGCCATCCCTGCTACCTGTAAATAAAGCAGCCTGTGAATGTTTCATGGGCTTGTGCTTAAAAATAAATGAAGTGAGGAAGTATTGGGGGTTCCTGCCTTGGCAGGGAAGGGAGTGTTCACAAACTCCCTAGGGAACCGAGAGGGCAAGGGAGAGTCAGGGCCAGGTTCCCTGAGGCCTAGGGATATGTCCGCCCGCATCCGGGAGGTCGTACCTCTGGAAGTACTGTCCCAAGCTCTGGGTCTCCAGGCTGGGAGGGTGTTAACTTTCCTCATTGCTGTAGCCATGGTACCCGAAAAGAAGTCATTTAAGGAGGGAAGGGATTATTCCAACTTACAGTTGGAGAAGACACAGTTCATCATGGCATCAGGGGCTTAGGCTGGTCACATTGCTTCTGCAGGCAGCTGGAAGCACAAGGAGAGTGTTGATGTTCTGTTCGGCTCCCTTTCTCCTTTTTATTCAGTTTGGAATCAAGCCTGATGGGTGGGCCTTCTCGCCTCAGTTAGCTTAAGCTAGATAATCCCTCAGAGAAGCCTCGAGGCTTCTCCCCTGGGTGATTTTAGATCCTGTCAAATTGACAATCAGTACTAATCAGTAGAGCACAGTGACACCCTGTGTGATGATGTGGGATTGGTGGGAGGGGATGTCCCCCCCCATGAGGAGCAAGAACTGGCCTGGCAGAAGGGAATGAGAGGGCCTTTCTGAAAAAGTGACTCCTGCCCAGAAAAGCCAGGTTGTCCCCACTGCCCCCCCAACTCCATCTAAATGATACACTCAGGTGACTGACAGGAGCTGGGATGAGAGGGGCCCTGGCCAGTGTCAGGAAATAGACTTTACTGCTCCTTGAACCCTGGTGACTCAGTCACCCAGCCCCACACTTGGACAGGTAAAGGAGTCCTAGAAAGGTGAGTAGATCCCAACAAGTTAGGGGAACTTGTTGCATACTAAAGACCCTAAGCCCAAAGCCAAGCAACTCAGCCCTGCCCCCTGTCCCCTGATTCACCTCCAGCCAGCCAGTCCCTCCTCTCTTGGTCTTAGTGTTTTGTCTGTGTAAAGGGGACAAGGGTATAGATGCTTTGGGATATTGCTCTGGACAA